GTCTCTCAGTCACCATACCTGTCCTCGGGCAGCGGGGAGCCGGCCAGCTGGGCCACCGTGGGGAAGATGTCCATGTTGCTGGTCGGCTCGTGGATCTCCAGCCCAGCCGGTATCACGCCCGGCCACCGGAGGAGGCCCGGCACCCGGATGCCTCCTTCCCAGTTGTTGCCTTTCCCCCCTGAAACGGAAAAAGGGGGAGTCAGCAGGGGGACGTGAGTGTTCGCAGCGCTCACCGAGGGCTCCCCCTCGACGGATTCCTCAACGTCCAACGCGGGGCGGCCAACCCGGGGGACCCCGGTGGTGCCGTGGCATGGACGCAACTAGAACTTCGTGAGAATATGGAAAATGTTGTAGGAACAGCAACAGTGTGGATGCAAAGGGGCCCCACGCTCACCCGACGGGCCCGGGGGAGGCCTGCGGGCGGCCTGGCAAACTCAGAGGCCTAAAGCAACCCCCCGGGATGGTCTGAAAGGAAAACTTTTTAACTAAAAAGCAGTTTATGGAGGGTCGTCAGGTCCTCGCCTGGTATCTCCCCTGACAAAGGTCCATCTTTACCGGAACTGAGCCTGTCTATTGTGTTTTTACATCTACGATCACGTACTGTTGGGATGTCAGAGTAATTTCCCTTTTTCCGGACCCCTCAGGGCACAGGCTCCCCTCTGCAGAGACCACAGGTCCCCTCACTGTCATCGAGTTAATTGTTGCCTGTCAACCATCCTGCACCTGCCTGAGTAAAAGACGTGTGTCCATCATTTCACTTTCTACCCAACCCCAGAGGTTTCCCCGCTTGGCTTCCTCCCGCCTCCCTCATCTGTCCCCCGTGGATTTCACGGGACCCCCTGACGTCTCCTTTTTTTTTCATTGCAACGCATGAAACAAGGCGCAGAACTGCTTTTGCAGGAACAGAGCAAGAACGGGACAGGATCAGGTACAGATGCGGAATCTGGGCACCTAACCACGGGACTTTCCGGACTCTCGAACCCTTCGGGGCGCAGAACGACATATGAGCAAGGATCTCGCCCTGCAGAAACGGCAAGGCTCAGGGCTACCCACAGGTAACAGATGGGGGGGGCGGGGCGGCCAAGAGCCCAGGTGATGCCCGCTACCTGCAAACACCTGCCCTGAGCACCAGGTGCTCAGGGGAAATTAACTAGGGAACGGAGGTGAGGTTCCTCAGAGGACACACAAAAAACCACATTAAAGAATCTGGCTGGTTTCCCTCCCCCTGAAAATGTATGAGCGGAGAAGAAAAGCATCGTCTAAATTTAAAAATTTGGCTCGGCAATCGTCAGAGTCTCACTTTTCCCATCTTGACGGCAGTTTGCCGTGACGGGATGTCAGAGAGATGATGGCCGAGCTCCTCCGTCTCCCTGGCGCAGGCACAGAAATCTCCTCTACCATTTACTCTGAGAATTTAGCAACATCTGTTTCCAAATCGGGCTTCTATCTCTGCGCCCTCCAATGCCGGCACCCAGCAGGTGAAATCCCTTTTAACGGCAAGAGCCCACGCTGGCCCCCATTCTTACGCCGCATCTGGCACCGAGGTTTAGGAAACAGCCTCCTTGTCCTATTTCTGCTGTTGGGCGTCTTTCCGCCCAGGTAACATCGACCCCCTTGGATTATTGCAAATTGCAAAGACCCCAGGGAGAAGCATCGTTTCCACTAAACGCTTTCTCACCCAAGATGCCGTATTTTATTTTTCTTGATTTATTGATTTCAGGGACTAAACTGGACAAATTACCGATAGGAGACAAGATTATTCAAGTTCTATCAACCTATTGTCAAGGTGAGAATAAAGAGCGAGGCCTGGCGGGTGTGGCTCAGTCCTGAGAGCGTCGGTCTGCAGCCCCAAGGCTCCCGGGTCGGATTCCCAGTCAACAGCACCTACCTGGGTTGCAGGGTCCATCCCCGGCCCTGGTCGGGGTGCATGCAGGAGGCGACCAATGGATGTGTCTCTCTCTCTCTTTCCCTCCTTCCCTAAAAAAACCTCAATGGAATAAATATCCTCCGAAGAGAATTAACAAAAAACAAAAACCAAAAAATACATCTACCTGCTCCTTCTAAATCAAACCCTCTCAGGAATTTCACCTTCTCAATTATCTTTGCATCTCCCCGGTCTCGCTGTTAAAGTTTAAGCGGATTAAGAGACGTAGGGCCTCTGCTCCTATGTCTCCACCGAAAGGTGCTCATGAGCATCACACGTGCGGGGGACAGGCGGACCCTCGGAGGCCTCATCTTGCTGGTTAGCGCCTTTGGTTTCGCCTCACCCGCCTCTCCGACCCGTCTCTGCCGCCTCAGTTCCTTCCGGTTTACCCAGTGACTCTCCCCACACCTCCCGAGTTCGGTCATCACCTTCCACCTACCTGATCGCACAATCCAGGAACATGAGAGGCACCTTTGACGTCTCCCTTCCTCTGAAACCAATATCCAGTCAACTGCCAATACCAGTGGGTTGACCACATCCATCCAATATCCAATCAACAGCCTACACCAGTGGGTTGACCATATCCATCCAATATCCAATCAACTGCCTACACCAATGGGTTGACCTTATCCATCCAATATCCAATCAACTGCCTACACCAAGGGGTTGACCATATCCATCCAATATCCAATCAAC